GAAATGCAAATCCACTTCTTCGGAAGGCTATATCTCAGGCAAATAGGGCCAGATCGGCGAGGGACCCACTCTCTCAGGATCGCGAGGATCCAGCCTGTCGGTCGGCATCAAAATCTCGGCTAAGAAAATGAGGCCGATTTTTGACAAATTCAATGATGTAACCATCATGATTTTTTGCGAAAATCGTGATGAGCTCGATGTCCTTTTTTCTGATGCCAATCGGTTGGCAGGACTCTCCCGCTCACGAAAAGACATGCCGCGCCCAGATCGGCCACTGTGTAGCCGAGATATAGCCTGCAGAACAAACCAGTATTTGCATGAAATGCAAATCCACTTCTTCGGAAGGCTATATCTCAGGCAAATAGGGCCAGATCGGCGAGGGACCCACTCTCTCAGGATCGCGAGGATCCAGCCTATCGGTCGGCATCAAAATCTCGGCTAAGAAAATGAGGCCGATTTTTGACAAATTCAATGATGTAACCATCATGATTTTTTGCGAAAATCGTGATGAGCTCGATGTCCTTTTTTCTGATGCCAATCGGTTGGCAGGACTCTCCCGCTCACGAAAAGACATGCCGCGCCCAGATCGGCCCATCAATAGTCGAGATATAGCCTGCAGAACAAACCAGTATTTGCATGAAATGCAAATCCACTTCTTCGGAAGGCTATATCTCAGGCAAATAGGGCCAGATCGGCGAGGGACCCACTCTCTCAGGATCGCGAGGATCCAGCCTGTCGGTCGGCATCAAAATCTCGGCTAAGAAAATGAGGCCGATTTTTGACAAATTCAATGATGTAACCATCATGATTTTTTGCGAAAATCGTGATGAGCTCGATGTCCTTTTTTCTGATGCCAATCGGTTGGCAGGACTCTCCCGATCACGAAGAGACATGCCGCGCCAAGATCGGCCCATCAATAGTCGAGATATAGCCTGCAGAACAAACCAGTATTTGCATGAAATGCAAATCCACTTCTTCGGAAGGCTATATCTCAGGCAAATAGGGCCAGATCGGCGAAGGACCCACTCTCTCAGGATCGCGAGGATCCAGCCTATCGGTCGGCATCAAAATCTCGACCACGAAAATGAGGCCGATTTTTGACAAATTCAATGATGTAACCATCATGATTTTTTGCGAAAATCGTGATGAGCTCGATGTCCTTTTTTCTGATGCCAATCGGTTGGCAGGACTCTCCCGATCACGAAGAGACATGCCGCGCCAAGATCGGCCCATCAATAGTCGAGATATAGCCTGCAGAACAAACCAGTATTTGCATGAAATGCAAATCCACTTCTTCGGAAGGCTATATCTCAGGCAAATAGGGCCAGATCGGCGAGGGACCCACTCTCTCAGGATCGCGAGGATCCAGCCTATCGGTCGGCATCAAAATCTCGGCTAAGAAAATGAGGCCGATTTTTGACAAATTCAATGATGTAACCATCATGATTTTTTGCGAAAATCGTGATGAGCTCGATGTCCTTTTTTCTGATGCCAATCGGTTGGCAGGACTCTCCCGCTCACGAAAAGACATGCCGCGCCCAGATCGGCCACTGTGTAGCCGAGATATAGCCTGCAGAACAAACCAGTATTTGCATGAAATGCAAATCCACTTCTTCGGAAGGCTATATCTCAGGCAAATACGGCCAGATCGGCGAAGGACCTACTCTCCCAGGATCCTAGGGATCCAGCCTGTCGGTCGGCATCAAAATCTCGACCACGAAAATGAGGCCGATTTTTGACAAATTCAATGATGTAACCATCATGATTTTTTGCGAAAATCGTGATGAGCTCGATGTCCTTTTTTCTGATGCCAATCGGTTGGCAGGACTCTCCCGCTCACGAAAAGACATGCCGCGCCCAGATCGGCCACTGTGTAGCCGAGATATAGCCTGCAGAACAAACCAGTATTTGCATGAAATGCAAATCCACTTCTTCGGAAGGCTATATCTCAGGCAAATAGGGCCAGATCGGCGAAGGACCCACTCTCTCAGGATCGCGAGGATCCAGCCTATCGGTCGGCATCAAAATCTCGGCTAAGAAAATGGGGCCGATTTTTGACAAATTCAATGATGTAACCATCATGATTTTTTGCGAAAATCGTGATGAGCTCGATGTCCTTTTTTCTGTTGCCAATCGGTTGGCAGGACTCTCCCGATCACGAAGAGACATGCCGCGCCCAGATCGGCCCATCAATAGTCGAGATATAGCCTGCAGAACAAACCAGTATTTGCATGAAATGCAAATCCACTTCTTCGGAAGGCTATATCTCAGGCAAATAGGGCCAGATCGGCGAGGGACCCACTCTCTCAGGATCGCGAGGATCCAGCCTATCGGTCGGCATCAAAATCTCGGCTAAGAAAATGAGGCCGATTTTTGACAAATTCAATGATGTAACCATCATGATTTTTTCCGAAAATCGTGATGAGCTCGATGTCCTTTTTTCTGATGCCAATCGGTTGGCAGGACTCTCCCGATCACGAAGAGACATGCCGCGCCAAGATCGGCCCATCAATAGTCGAGATATAGCCTGCAGAACAAACCAGTATTTGCATGAAATGCAAATCCACTTCTTCGGAAGGCTATATCTCAGGCAAATAGGGCCAGATCGGCGAAGGACCCACTCTCTCAGGATCGCGAGGATCCAGCCTATCGGTCGGCATCAAAATCTCGGCTAAGAAAATGAGGCCGATTTTTGACAAATTCAATGATGTAACCATCATGATTTTTTGCGAAAATCGTGATGAGCTCGATGTCCTTTTTTCTGTTGCCAATCGGTTGGCAGGACTCTCCCGATCACGAAGAGACATGCCGCGCCAAGATCGGCCCATCAATAGTCGAGATATAGCCTGCAGAACAAACCAGTATTTGCATGAAATGCAAATCCACTTCTTCGGAAGGCTATATCTCAGGCAAATAGGGCCAGATCGGCGAAGGACCCACTCTCTCAGGATCGCGAGGATCCAGCCTATCGGTCGGCATCAAAATCTCGGCTAAGAAAATGAGGCCGATTTTTGAAAAATTCAATGATGTAACCATCATGATTTTTTGCGAAAATCGTGATGAGCTCGATGTCCTTTTTTCTGTTGCCAATCGGTTGGCAGGACTCTCCCGATCACGAAGAGACATGCCGCGCCCAGATCGGCCCATCAATAGTCGAGATATAGCCTGCAGAACAAACCAGTATTTGCATGAAATGCAAATCCACTTCTTCGGAAGGCTATATCTCAGGCAAATACGGCCAGATCGGCGAAGGACCTACTCTCCCAGGATCCTAGGGATCCAGCCTATCGGTCGGCATCAAAATCTCGGCTAAGAAAATGAGGCCGATTTTTGACAAATTCAATGATGTAACCATCATGATTTTTTGCGAAAATCGTGATGAGCTCGATGTCCTTTTTTCTGATGCCAATCGGTTGGCAGGACTCTCCCGCTCACGAAAAGACATGCCGCGCCCAGATCGGCCACTGTGTAGCCGAGATATAGCCTGCAGAACAAACCAGTATTTGCATGAAATGCAAATCCACTTCTTCGGAAGGCTATATCTCAGGCAAATAGGGCCAGATCGGCGAAGGACCCACTCTCTCAGGATCGCGAGGATCCAGCCTATCGGTCGGCATCAAAATCTCGGCTAAGAAAATGAGGCCGATTTTTGACAAATTCAATGATGTAACCATCATGATTTTTTGCGAAAATCGTGATGAGCTCGATGTCCTTTTTTCTGATGCCAATCGGTTGGCAGGACTCTCCCGATCACGAAAAGACATGCCGCGCCCAGATCGGCCCATAAATTGTCGAGATATAGCCTGCAGAATAAACCAGTATTTGCATGAAATGAAAATCCACTTCTTCGGAAGGCTATATCTCAGGGAAATAGGGCCAGATCGTCATGATTTTTTGCGAAAATCGTGATGAGCTCGATGTCCTTTTTTCTGATGCCAATCGGTTGGCAGGACTCTCCCGATCACGAAGAGACATGCCGCGCCCAGATCGGCCCATCAATAGCCGAGATATAGCATGCAGAACAAACCAGTATTTGCATGAATTGTTTTTCCCCTTAAATGTAAAACTAGATTAAGTTGCCACGAAAGGTAACAGTAAACTTGTTTACAACAAAATACAAATTTTCCACATGAAAAAAAGAAGATTGAGGGTGGGTGGCTGTTGTAGTAGTACCTGGATGTTGTTGTAATTTGGTAAGTATGGCATAACTCCGCCATTTCTTGTCCGATCGGGGCGGGCCTAGGTCACCTGCGATCGGTAAAATATCCCTGATTTGATGGAGTCCTTATCAATGACAAAGGATCAAGGATATTTTCCCTAGTCTTATATATGTATGTCTATTTTTTTCTGCTCCTTGTGGGCCGATCAGGGCATGCCATGCCTTCCAGTAATCGCAAAAATATACTTATCCTTGATGGAGTCCTTATCATGGACTTTTACCCAGTATTTTATCTTTTTTACATAAATTGTGGGCCGACCAGAGCGTGCCACGGCTTCCTCTAATCAGAAAAATATCATTGATCCTTACATAAGGACTTTGATATCCCCAGCCATACGTGTTTAGTCTGTACGCGATGGCTTCCTGTGATCGGAAAAATATCCTTGATGTAGTCCTTCTCAAGGACCAATGATAAAGTCGTTTCTTGTGTCCCAACAAATAAATCGAAAAAAAAATACAGGAATCTTAAATATTTAAGTGTTATTTAATAAAAAAAAATAATTAAGCGTACGCAATCGCTTTTAACATAATAAAAACACAAATACATAGGCCATAGATATTAAATTAGGAGAATAAAGCTAGCATTAAAATGATGTCGAAATTTAAACAATGAAGTAACGAGAGTTCGTTGCTTTTTTTCTTTTTGGTGTTTTGCGGAGATTGAACAAATGCAATTTCGTTAAATCGTTCAAACAATAATAGGTACAGTAAAATAAAATACATAATTGTAAAAAAATCAACTTAATATTATGTACAGGTAAAATCGATGGACTCTGAACGGTTGGTTGTCGAATGAAGCGATTTGGAGTTTATTGCCTGGCATCGTGCACTTGCATAATAATCGTGCAGTGTCGCCTGCTTGCATATACATATAAAAGGTTATAAATCGTACGAGTATATATCGTATATAGTGTGTGTGTAAAGTAGAGAGTACATAGGGATATGCGCACGTGTGTATATGATACTTGTATAGATATAGTATGTATATACTATGGTATATAGTAAGTTATGTCAGTGCCCGTTGCAAAAGCATCGCCGCATACAAAAGTGTGCTTAGAAAAGTGTGTGTGTGGGTGTGGTTTGTGATTGTGTTCAAGTCTATATGGTTGCATTGTGCCTCTCTCCTAGAACAGGCCCCGCTCCTTCTTCAGCTTGGTCTGCTTCCAGATGGGCAGCTGCTCGAACTCCGCCCGGCTGCAGCCCAGTGCCACCTGGAAGTCCTCGGCATTCAAGTATACCTCCAGCCGCGTGGGCTCCACTCCCTCGGGAAGTGGTCGCCCCTTCAGCACCTCCAAAGGATACTCTGTCTGTGTCATTTGTGCCAGCATTGTGCTGATTTCGATGATATCATCTGAACGGCCATCCTAAGGGATCACAAATTTGAGCTAGCAATTGTTTTATGAATAATTCTTCAGCCGACTAACCTCTACATTGATTTCCCTGACATCGGCACGCTCATTCCATTCCGGAAAGAGGGCTCTGAAGGCCAATGGTTCCAAGCCGGCCCACACCACCTGGCCCTTGACGCCGTGGAAGGCTTCCTTCACATTTTCGCCGTGCTTTGCACGCCAATAGTCGACGGCCGTCTCGAGGGCAGCGCGTCTCTCTGAGATCCAGCGATTAACACCAGCCCGATTGTCATTGGTGGGGCTGCTCCTCTCATCCGTGTTTACTGGAAAGAGGATAAACAATTAATTCCTTCCTCAGAGTATTAAAATGATCGAGAACCTACTCTTCACATCCTCAAGGGGCCACCATCCCATCCAGAGCCATAGCGCATCGCCATCATCCAGCAGGAAGATGGTCGGCTGACGGGCGTTGTAGAGTTGGGCCTGGCTAAACGGATACGGACTGTGCATGTCCTGGCAACGCAACGGATCGCTCAGCTCCAAGGCTTTGAACACTCCCTGGGTACTGGAGAAGTTAAAAATCCTCAGCTGGTAGTCGTAGGATTTAGTGGCCTCCAGTAGACTGCCATAGTCCGCGCGGTGCTCTCCTAATCCCAAGGCCTTCTTGCAGTCCTCGCTCTCGGCTCCCTCCTCCAGCTCTGCGAGGGTGGCCGCACTGTCGCAACTGAACAGATCCTTGGGCATTTGCTTGATTACCTCGTGGGCAGCCTCGAGAGCGACACTCCGCGAGTGTGGGGCGCTCTTCGCGCCATGCCAGACGAGTACGAGTCCCTGGCTGCCGTGGATCATAAGCATGGAGCTGCGGGATCGCAGCTGTCGCGACTGGCAGTCCACTTCCTTCAGCAGCGTCTCCTCGGAGACATTGCCCTGCAGCTGGTAGAGTCGCCACTGGTTGCGTTTCTCCAGGCACTGCTCCTTGCGCCCGCGGTGCTGCCATAGCTGGCGGAACAGACGCACGAAGGCCGTGCCCTCGTCTCCCTGGGCCACCAGCAGTTGGGAGCCCTTCTCCTTGTCCAGTTCCACAGTCAAGAGAGCGGCGGCACCCTTCTCATTGGCACTCGAGTCCTGTCCCTGCCATGTGAAGTAGACGCAACGATCGCGACCTACGGTGCTCCTGTTGGAGACCTTTCCGCTCAGCTCTCGCACGGTGACCGAGATCTGGTAGATCCAGCGGACAATGTAGCTCTCGGCGGAGTAGAAGTGGCCGTAATCCTCGCGAGCATTGGCCGCATCGAAGTTGAACTCGTTTATCTGCCACTTGTCGGTGGACTTGGTGATGACATCGAAGTGCCGCATCGTGTCGTTGTCGTAGTAGAAGTTGCCACGGCCGAGGTTCGACTGTTCCAGCACCAGATTGGGCTCCTGGTAAGGCTCGCCCTTGTGCAGGGCTGCTCCGTTGAGGGCATGCACCACATGGACGCCGTTCGCCAGGTAGTCCTTCTCCAGATCCTCCCGCTCCAGCTCCGGCCAGTCGCTGAACTTCTCCTTGAACAGCGCCGTCTCCATGTTCTGGGTAATCTTCCCGAGTACGCACCAGTCGGGTCGTTCGGCGCAGCGCTTGGCGTACGTGGTGTTTTCCCGGCGACCCACAATCGAGACGTAGTTGAGGGGATTCAGGTAGCACTGGGCATAGTCTGCCGAATCCTTGGCCACAAAGTGCTCCTGGGCCAGTCGCATGGCTGCCCGCTTGGCATCCGACGAGGCATTCTTGCCGTTCCACACGTACAGCTCGCTGCCAAAGTCAAAGACGAGCACCTTGCGGGTGTCCAGCATGTCCACCTTCGGGATGCAGCCCCAGTACTTGTCCAGGGGGATGAGGGCATCGTCCTGGAACTCGTAGATCTTGTTCGTCTCGATCAGACTGCTCTCGAATACATCATCCTCGTCCGCATGGCCGCACTCGGGAATCTCGTACTGCTCCTCCTCCGGCTTGCCGAGCAGCGTCCAGAACTGGCGCCACTGGCGCTCGTTCATGTACTTGCCATCCGTGAGGATCACCTCCTGGCTGGCCGTACATCCCAGGTCCTTGTTCTCCACGATGGCAGCGCAGATCTTCTTGCTGCGCGAGATCTCAATGACGTTCGCGAAGGAGCCCACATAGCGGTAGAGCTGGGAGCCCGAGACTAGAATGAAGCAATCGCCGCGATTCAGCGACGTGTGAAGGGGCGCCACCAGGCGGGTCTGCACATGGGTGCGCCCCTTGACATGTAGCAGCATCACCGGCTTGTGGGGCAGCCACATCTGCTGGAGTGGCAGCGAGGATGACCGCAAGGCCACCGCCTTGAAGTCCTCTATGGAGGCCAGTCCGGCAATGGCTTCGGCAGCCAGGTTTCCATGCTGTCCAACTGGGGATAGTCAGGGGAAAGGATTAGTTAGGATTAGCAGGGAACTCCCGTGATTGTGCTGCAAGTGGCACCACTTACATGACTCCAGCTTGAGGCGCCGCAACTCCCGCTCTGCCACTCCTGTGCGCAGTTCCGTGTACTCCGACGTGATGTCGCTGCGCGACGCCAGACTCTTGATAGGATTGCGCGCGGCACGACGACCCTTGGGTCCCTGCACGTGTCGTTTGCTCACCAAACTGAGGAGAATACATAAATTGGAATTTGGACAATGGAAGGGGTGGGGGTGCTGATGCTACTCGAAAGGACTTACCGCTCTGTGGGCTTTATGTCGTCGAAGGCACTGATCTCCACCTCCGTCGCGCTCTCCTTCTGTTGTGCGGCTGTGGGCTGCGTGGCAAAGAAGTTCTCGAAGGTCTCCTTGTCGTCCAGCCGGGGCACCTGAATCCTCGATCCCACATTAGTGGGCGCCGCCGCGCTCTTGTTGTTGGCCAGCTCCTTGTTCTGCTTGGCATTCTGCGGGGAGCTGCGCTCCCCATCCGAGTCGGAGCTGCTGCTGTTCGAGCGGCTCAAAGTGGAGACCTCCTCCTCGGGATTAACGCTGAGGCTGCGCAGCGTGGTCTTCGCATTGCTCGCGGCGGTGCCGGTGGCGGTGGCACTGCCGGGCACCATCATGGAGGGGCTCTTGGCCAGGCCGAGCTGCGGCTGATTGGCACTGCGCACCTCCAGCATGGGGCACTTCTTGGCCGCATCGTTGGTCGAACGCTCGAACTGCAGCTCCACGGGCGACTGGGCCTTCTTCTGCAGTCGACCAGCGACTGTGAACTTCTTGGCATCGGTTTGCTCTGCCAAAAGATGGGAAAGTGAGATGGAGAACACTTCGCGAGGGACTCATTCCGCCTTACCTATGCGCTGCTTCCAGTTCTCCGAGTTGGACTTGAGTTTGCCCAAGCGATCGGAGACCTTGCCGCCCTCGAGGCTGGTGGGGATCAGAGGCGAGGGTGGCAGCGGCTTGTCCGACAGCGAGTGGGCCAGAGAGAGCGACTCCTGCAACGAGATTCAAACATTTATTCGTGATTACATTCACTTTCAAAACGTTCACCCACGCTCTAAGCCCCAAATTTCGAGCGGCGAACATGCGCATTTATAAAGAAATTAACCAACAGAAATTCGTATAATGGGCCCACAAATATGGTCAACAGTCGCGTCGCAGGTGGCCTTATCGGGGGAAGCGGGTTACCCCACACTACCCGATGACTCACGGAGTCTCACAATCATCGGCTGCTTCTGTTTTAGAGAAAAGCTCTTACCAGTTTAACTTTTTCCATTTCCAGCTATTTCCAGTGTATTTGTTTATTCAAATTTTGCTAATCAACCCAGCTGCTGAATGGGGATGGGCACACACCTCAAACCTCGAACGCTTTAACGTCAAGTACGCTCCATTAGAGACCGGAGCCCGTAATGACAACGCAAACTGGCGACAGATCAATCGAATGGATGCGCAAATGTATCTGGGGGCTTGCACCCAACACAATGCCAATTTGGCGACTGCTAAACGCTTGGTGCTAGGCTAATTGCGCACCTGGCTGGAGCCCCCCGAACGGAGGGAGACAGAGAGAGCGAGAGAGAGAGAGCTAGAGTACGTGAGAGAGCGTACGATTAGATAAGGGGCTTTTGAAGACCAGACCCCTCCCAGCGCTTGGCGTTTGCTTTGTTTGGTTTGCATTCGTTTAGCAGTAAGTAATTCATAAGCTGTCAATACGGAAGGGAACTAAATGGAATTGTTTAGTGTTTACACTTCGGGTCGCTTGGCGCTGTGCTTGAGCATAAGTTAGATGCATGATAGTACCTTCCCTTCGAAATATCCCCCGTATCTTATCTGAAATGCATGTATCTGTATCTGGGGATTTGGGTGAAGTTCAGTCACTTCTTATCGTGCCCAAAGGCAGTAAATATCTTACGTTTTATCTTTAATTATGCAATATTTAGGAATGTTGATGTTTATCCAACTCCGACCCTTTTCCTGTATCACCTACGCCCCTCGCTTCCCGTTCCCCAGAATGCAATTTTATTATCAAATAATTGTGCACTACATTTATTATTTCCTATCTGTGCCAAAGAGACAGCCTTGGGCAGCCTCTTCTCTTGAATTTAAGCGTGTGTCATGCCATCAATCTCTCTCTCTCTCACTCTCGGTCCCTCTCTTCGCCACAAAACCACCGTGAATCAATCATGAATCATCCAATATAAATTGATAAAGCACATACACGAAATATGGGCAAAAGCAGGCAAAGGCCAAGCGGCTAATGAACAGGGAAAACAAAGCGCGAATATCCGATAGAATGGAATGGAGTGGAGTGGAGTGGGGTGGAGTGGGGTGGATCGATGGAGTGGGTACCGTACCCAATCCGAGTGGTGGTTCCTCCGAAAAGGCAAGAGATTCTTCTGCGGAGGAGCGCCCCAAAAGAGGGACCTACCTTAGCCAAAAACAAAACAACAAAGCCAAAAAAACACCTCATCCAAAAGGCATAAATATCATCAAATAAATGCCAATTTATTATATTTTATTGACTGTCGATTTTCGCTGTTTTTGTCATTTGCGTATTTGCGTGACATTTGGATTTTGTTGGCGTTGCTTTCGGTGGAAATAGTATCTTTTGAAACTACTGAAAATGTTAAAATTAGCATATCAATATATGTATATTCATTTGTTGTCTTGCAAACACCCCATACCATATCGAATGCGAATCAATTGGGCCAAGTTAAGGTGGCTTTTGGTCAAGTTCAAGTGTAGCCTCAATTTTAAACTGGAAATATGGAACCCCGTCTCCATCCCCCCGTCTCCATCCGTTCAGAGCAGTTCTTTATTCCGTTTGATTGGCGGGGAGTGGCTTATTCCACTCTCGAGTGCCACAGACAGAGTCTGGATTGATAAGCCCTGCCGCTGTCAGTTGTGGTTTTCCATTGTCGTTATTTCTGTGCCATGCCATGCCATGCCATGCCACAGATGATTGCAACAAGTGTTGCAATGTTCCACAGTTCATTGGCCCCTGCTGAAATGCCCCACACCTTTCACCGTAAGGTATGGCTATGCCCCAGCCTCTGCCTCTCTTTATTATTTATCTGCGCTCCGCTGCCTTTGGTTTGCCATCAAATCAATCAAAAAAGCCACAGCAAAGGAATTACCTCACATCCCCAATCATTTCATTTTCGGTGTCCCCCCAGCCTCTCGCTAGCGCTTCGCCGTTTCGGCATTTCGGCGATTTATAATTAATGGAACGTTCATCCAACATTTTGATTTGCGTCAATTTATTTGACAAATTGTGGGCATAGATTAGACGGCTCTCCGCTCGAAGACACGCTTCGATGAGGCCATGCCATGCCACCTTTTGATGCCAGCAAAATAAATTGTCGAGCAGCTGGGGGGCCGTGCCGGCACGGCCAGAATACAGACATACATATGTATGTACATTTCGCCAGAACCCTTCTGCTAATGCAGCTGTTTATACGAAAGAGAATCGCCTGTTGGTTTACTAATAATACTAGTATATGTGTGCTTTTAGCAGAAACAGACACTCGTTTACGTAGAATTATTGCTTCGTTGTGTATTTTTCTTGCATTTGATACAGAGTCTTTTGTTTAAGATACACGTTTGTTTAATCATATAAATAATACTACAAATTCATTTCATATTCATATTCATACAATATTTTATCTGCGATAGGATCGATTTAGTTATACATACATATGTATATGAGATGCATCGCTATGCTATGCTACGGTTTACCCCAGAGACAAAATGAGACGGTTAATAAGTACAAGGAATCGACTGTTTACTTTGATTTGCTTAAGTTTTCATCGATTAAACAAATAAAATGCATATGGAAGGAGGAACGGCCAAGGGGGGGCTATATAATCTATAGGAAACTACTATAGGAAGGCGTGGCAAGGCCCCCCCCCCCCCCCCCCCCCTCCCGCATTCGTGAGTCACAGCGCTGTGGCGGGACAAAGGCGATGAGGGGCGATGTGGTGCGATCGAGGGTACGATTAGGACGGGGTAAAAGTCTTCCGGGTGACCCGATTGCGAATTCGAATCCGAATCCGATTCTGACTCATGGGCCATGGGGCGAGGAGATGGCACTAAAAACTGATCATTCATCCAACAATCTTTGATACTGGAAGCTCCCCTCCTCCCTCATCTGGTGTCGTTCACATAGGTGGCCTCCTCCACGCAGGAGGCCTGCTCCTCGTTCAGCAGATCCGTGATGGAGTAGGCGGACAGTGGCCGCGAGAATCTGCGCTCCGAGAGGATGTCGTCGATGCTGGTGACGGGCGACAGGCTGTTGCAGTCCGCATAGAAGGAGTGCGGCTCCTCTGCACTCCTGGCAATCACCTGGAAGATGTCCTCCATGCTGGACTGGAGGCACAGCGACGGCGGCTGCCGCAGCAGCACCGGGGACGCGGGCTCCGGGGAGCTGCCCAGCGGAGAGGCAGTCGAGGGCGTGGCCGAGGTGCCACGGGTGCGTCGAACCACGGGCACGGTCATCGGCTCCCAGTCGCTGTGGGAGGGGGACGACTTCTTGGAGGGCTCCTCCTCCAGTTCCTGCCACAGCTGCATCGCCTGCTCGATGTGCTGCAGCTGTGCCGAGAGCTGTGTGGCGATGCTCGTCTTGCGGGAGGCGCAGGGCGTCGAGTCGTGCGAATCATCGCTGGCCCCAAACATCCGGATCTCGGGCAGGACAGGCGAGACCCTGCTCACCTGCCGCGTGGCACCCGTCTCGAACATGCGTGCGATTTTGGTGACATTGCTCCGCTTCACTGGCGCCGGCACGGGGGGCAGCGGCTCCTTCGCTGCTGTGGTGGACGTCTGCCGCTTGTGGTAGACGCGTGTGACGGGCTTCCGCGCCTTCTGCTTCTGCTTGGAGGCCGCCGCCTCCTGGGCCTGCACGTGGCAGCACAGCTCGGGCCCGTAGCAGCGATGGTACTTGTGGCGATTCGCCTCGTAGTCCGCGTCCGCGAAGCGCTTCATCCGCTGCAGGGACTTGGGCAGCAGCGTGAGGAATACGTAGGCGACCAGCAGGTAGGGCAGGCATCCCGCCCACTCCCAGGCCGTCTCCAGGTAGACCATGTAGTCGGAGAATGTAGTCACGTCCATCGTAGCCATCGTATCCGTCGTAGCCGTCGTAGCCATCGTATCCGTCGGATGTTGTTATCACAAATTAGTATCGCTTTCGACTGTTTATTGGTTCACTTTTTCGCTTGTTTCGTGCTTTTGATATCGTTCTTTTGTGGTGCAGTTTTTCGTTTTTTTTTTTTGGTTTTTGATTCGATAAGCGGCAAAAGTTATATTTTATGACATCACATCACACTACACGGGGATCGGTTCAATATACAACGTATTCATTAGAGATCTTTCTGGCATTCGTTTGCTTCAGATACAAAGGAAAACAGTGCAAGATTTGTTCAATTTTGCAATGTTTTCCCCTGGGCATACAAATCCTGGCTCCCCTCCCACACGCGCCCACACGCCCCCACTCAGTCGCTCATCACACCTTTCGTCAAGTGCTGCCCGCTGCACTTTGCCATTCGATTTGCATTATCACGGGTATTTATGTTTGGGGCTTTCGTGTTTCTTTATCGCCTGCTGACATCCGATACGATGAGTATCGTATCCCCTTCGCTCCACGCAGACCCGAGAGCTCTGCGAGCATTAATAAATTTTGCAATTTTTAGTGCGGCGTTTTTCTGTTGTATTTTCGCAAGTGGACGCGTTTTTGTATTCCGTTGCGCCTTCGCGGTCGTTCGTTCTCTTTGGATCCCCGTCATGAACTATGCGGTGACGCTGTGGCGGCTCGGCTCTGCGATGGCCCCAACGGCTCCGCTGCCCGAAACTTTACGAAAGCAGCGAGCGTCGCGCGTCGCGCGTCTGCTTAACGCCTCTCTCTCTCCCTCTCTCCCGCTCTGTGCTTAGCTCTCTCTTTTGGTTCTCTCTGCGGCTCGTGATGCTGTGCCTTGGTTCGGCTTCGGCTTGGCCTCTCGCTCTAAACCTTAGCGGCCTCTACGGGCTGCACTTGCGCATAATTCTCTTCTTTGCTTTGCTTCGCCTCGCTTGTCCGTTTGACCGTTCCTTCTGTCGTGGGCTCTCCTCTGCTGATAAGAACTTGCGGGTGGGAGGGAGCCAGCAGATGCGGGCCCGAGAGAGAGCAAGAAGATGTGCAACTTTCATTTCAATGAAGTTCTTTGATGATCGCAAAGGGAATGGAAAGGAACTCTGTCTTTTGATGGATGGAAATTACTTTGAAGTATCCCAGAGGGCAACGGTTCCCCAATTCGTTGAATCCTCAAGGAGAAGGGAAAGGGGGAGGCTGTCCTACAAGCCGAGTACATTTCCCCCATTTAATACGTATGTATATTTATATTTTCTAAATATTTGCATGGCTTTCCACATAATATACGATTTCTCATCTTCGTTTATTTGCTGGGTTTATCAGCTGTGTTGCTCCACCGACAGACAGACAGACAGACGATTGCGACTGCGACATATGCAAACAGCTCACGTATGTAAATAAACCAAATATAGAACACGAGAAACAGCACTGGCAATCATAGCAATTACAACAATAGCAATGGCAATAGCAATAGAAATAGCAACAAATGACTGGCAGGCTCCTTTGTGATTTATGGAAATGGGTATTGTTGCTAATTGTTGACTTTGCCGCCACCGTAGAAATATGTGTCATCTTTCTGTAAGATTTTCCATCTGAAGCACACAAGTATCTATGGATTTGTAAGCTTTCCATACGGTATATGTGTGTATCTACGAGTTTTCCATCTAAATCCCGTGTATATTGGTGGGGCAAAACAGATGCGCCTTCCGAAGCACTTTTCGACCCAAGTAAAATGAAATTGAGTTATTTTTGAACGATTTGCGTGGGTCTCGGTCTCCGTCTCGGTCTCCGTCTCGGTTCTGGCTGTCGTTCTGTTTTGACGATTTGTAATGGCCAAGCGGATTGCGGTCACATTTGATGATTTTTTTTTTTTTTGGCAATCGCACTTTTGAGAAAGTAGCTTTTTGCTTTCTTGGAGGTGCTGCTATAATCGGGTGGGTGGTTCGGTGGATCGGTGGATCGGTGGTGTGTGCGAGTGTTGGACAAGTGGAATAGCCAGCCTTGTAACACTTTCTGTATTCAAATATTTTTGGATTTGTCACATTTCGTAATAATAATTTTTGCACACTTTTTTCAGCACGAGGCGAATGCTAGAGAAACTATGAATAAATATTGCCATTCGCTTCCTGCTGTTGACGCTGCTGCTGCCGCTGCTGCTGCTGCATTTGACAGTTGATGTTTATGCAATTCAGGAAATTCACTTCACATTACTTTTTATGCAATCCGAACTGAGAGGCAACTGAGAAACTGAGAGATCGCATCGGTAGAAAGAGCGGGTTTGGTTTTCGAAACCAGAGGTGGGCAGTACGGGACCGGGACTCTATTTTTAGTTTTGCCGCTTATCAATTTTAATGTCAATTGCTGCAACGGCAGGCAGCAGCAGCGGCAGCAGCAGCAGCAGCATCAGAGCAGTGCAATACTCGTAAATGCATAGAGCACTAACAATAACAATAAAAAAAAGATCAAGTGGAAAGGAAAGTAATGCGAACGCCGAACCGATCGGCACGAAACCGCGACTGGGAATGGATCGTAAGTTACAGTACGAGGCGCTCGAAAAGCTTGCTCAAAGCCGGCCCAGGGAGAGCCCCGCGAGACAGAGAGAGAGAGAGAGAGGGAGAGAGGGAGACCGATCCCATGACGAAGTGGAGGCTGCGACTGCTGCTCTCCCAAGTGCCAGGGTAAAGAGGAGGCAGCAGGAGGTAGGAGGCAGAAAAGGCCTTTTGAAATTAAACTAAGCGTAATAAACAAGATCATTGTGGGGACAGGGCCTTGCAGAGGAGAACAAAGGAAGAAGAGAGCGGAGAGCGCAGAGAGAGAGAGAGAGCTGCAAGTGAGAGGAGGGAAGTTTTGGTGGCGAAAAAAGGGTACAACATACAATACATGTCCCTGTGGCCAGGCCCCAGAAATGCCTCAGATGAATCACAACATCCGAATCCGAATCCGAATCCGAATGCAGGCCTAACGCGAATTTAATTAAATCCCAACTAAAAATAAATCAATGCCAGAGGTTCCTGAGGAGAGGACAAGCCGCACAATGAGGTAATTGTCTAAAAATTCAATAAGCCAGAAGTACAAGTGCTGACAGGCAGCTGACAAAAAGAGATACAAAGATACTCGTAAAAAGAAAAAGCGAAATGAAATGAAAGAGTTTTTACTAGACGAAATGGCCACCTTATCGGAGGGCAGAAAAAGGAAAATAAATGAATCACACAGAAGGCAATAAAAATAATCAGCAATAAGCAGGCAGGCAGCAGCCGCATACTTGCAGCTTGTAGATACAAGCAGCGCAAAGATACAGATACAGATACACGCGAAGGAAACGGAGAAGGAGAATGGGTTGGGGGCTGGGGGATGGCGGATTGGGGGGACACAGCGATATGGCAGCAGTTGATTTAGAAGTTTATGGAACAACTTGGGGCTACTGTTGTTGTCACTGGCTGCCGCCTGCCGCTTGCCGCCTGCCGCCTGCCGGGGCATGTGGCATGGACTAATGAACAAGTACAGCAGCAGTCAGGCCAGGCAGCAGCAGCAGCAGCAACAATAAGAATAATGAAGTAACCAGAGGACAGGCAGAGCAAAAAGCCAAACAAAAAAATAGCAAGTATATCAAATTTACAAAACAATTTACAACAGTCTGAGGCATGAGGCATGGGGCATGAGGCGAGGAGGCTGGGCGGCAGCTGGAAGCTTGTTGGGTTGGGTCGGGGCCCAGAAGATGAGCACGTTCAAGATCAAGACAGAGATCAAATGCTGGACCTAGAGCCAGCCAGAGAGAGCTCTGCTCGTGGCTCCAATAACAACAACAACAACAACAGCAGCAACAACATCTGCTAGTTAGAAACAGAGCCCCAGCCCAAGCCCAAACACAAACCCAAACCCAAACCCAAAGACAACCTTCATGCCATGCTCCTTCTCTTTGCTCAGTTTGTAATTGTTGCAGCAACGACTACGCCCGGTGCTCTGTGGTCTGTCTGTGGTGCTGCCACACAGCCCACAAGGCAAGTTTTGAGGGAAAATTATGGCAAAATGGAAGTTGGCAGCAGCAGCAGCAGCAGGACAGAAGGAAGCGGAGGAGCACCAGGGAGTGGGCTGCAGCTCCACGAAGAGGAGTCCCGTGTCTATATTTAACTGGGATGCTACGACTCCTCCTGCTGCTGCTGCTGCTGCTCCTCCTTGGATCTCTCTCTCTCTCTCTCTCTCTCTGCCCTTCATTATTATGCGCATTTTCATGATGCAGCCGATCGTGGCTTGATAAATTGTTCTAAATTATAAGAGACCTCTTTTTGCGCGAATGTTTTGACACACACACGCGTCTGGGGACACAACGTCAGAGCATCAGGGATGGGATGGGATGGCCCGACTAATTGCTCAGAGGCCACCTTGATTCTGCCATTTGGGATCTCTGCCAAACAGCGCATGAAAATCGCAGACTTTTCCGACCAACAGAGCAGAGCAAAGCAGAGACCAAAAGAGACGCCAAAGAGGAATACAGAAGCAGAAAGTCATCTTAATTATTAATAAATTGTATTCTAATGGACGTCAAAATGATGTCTTGCCGCAGCGTAGAAAATGAGGGTAGAACAGTGGGGAATGGGATGGAAAGAGCGCCTTCTGCGATGGGTATAGCCCGTGCTCTGCCATTTACCGTACCATTGACCTTGTCCCACTGTACGGCTCCGCTTGAGGGGCGCGCTTGAAGAGCGTGTGCGCCGCCCCTCCGAAAACGTAACGAACCAACAACAAAATGGGGAAGCAAGACTCCACTCCACTCCAAACCAATCCACTCCAAGTGGCATGTAATTCGCTGCCAACAACACTTCAAAACTCATTTGCCCCCGCCAGAGAGTATTTTGGAATGGTGTGTGGGTCAGAAGATCGCTTTGACATGATTTCCTCACAACATTTCTCTCGCTCTCGCTCTCTCCACCAGTGGCAACCCACAGCTGCCGCCCCGGAGGAGGACGATGATGAGTAAGCCCCACATGTGGCAGGAGGCGGGGGGTTTCCAACCGTAATTAAATGTGATTACTTTGTGCAATTCGGGTGGGGGGGAGTCTGTGGCAGGGCAGGCAGAAGACCCGCATAATTATGGGCCACAAGTAACCGTTTAATCAGGCACAAACCAAGACAGAGAGAGGGAGAGAGGTAAGGGAGGGAAAAGTTCACTAAACTTCATTTATGGCCCAAAGCTAGCGGCGGCTAATTGACAGCCCAAACGGCATCCGACGATGGATCCATGTCTCGGGAATTTTCGCCAGCGGTGCAAGTGCCGCTCTGATATGTGGCCATGCCCATAAAAAAGAATAGACAGGAGATATTTTTGGACATGGCATGGCAGTGAAATTTAACGGCGGAACAACTACTGCATGGGTTTTGCCGGCAGTGACATCACAACTGCACGTTTCGTTTCGTTTTCATTCGAATGAAAGTAACATTTGATTAACAATTCCAATTCCCCAAGCGAAAAGACGGTCCCCTCTGCCTTACTGCGCTTGGCCCCCACATATTCTACCTCTAATTATCAATAAAGATAAAGATCCCCAATAAAGGGTTTCAATGGGCGGAACAGGCCCCCAAACGGCACAAAGACGCTAGCGGCGGATATTTATGGAACTGTCTGGTAGACACCGCCACCTGGCGTCTTTTTGTTGGCGCCATGAGGCGGCAATAAATGGAACCCGACAATCGGCTATCGCACAATATTCGTTGCATATTTTTGGGCGCACACGAAAATCAAGTAGAAAAGTGGGCGCGAAATTCAAATAAATGTATGTGTGGCCAGGACTTCATTGTTGGAACTTACAGGAACAAATTGGCCGCCAAATTGGGACGACCATCGGGATTTGGATCAACGGCGGATTACCACCGAACGGCGGTACTCTCGGGACTTTTGGTTTTCATGGTTTAAGTTTCCGTTTCTAGATACTAGAGGGTTCCTTTAATACCCAGTATTCGAAGAGTTTTGGAATATACTAAGTAGTGTTGTGTATATTGTGAATGTGTGCAACACCCAGAAGAAAGCGTTTCCGACCCTATAAAGTATATATCTTTCGTCCCGATTAGCGCCTGGCTCTTAGGGATTATGAGAGCTAGAGCTACCAAACTTTTCATCCAGATCTCTGTGTGATATCACACTGTTACACAAGCGAACAGCGATACCAAAAGACTGCGAGAGACATACTCGTGTATACTGAATGAGTACCAGGTATGCAAGCAGAGCTGCGGCCCTTGCCGCGTCTCACAACGTTCCCGCTTGTTCAAATACTAAAATATTGCACATGACAAATGACACATGATGTTTTCCGCTGACCAAAGATTTCTGTTTTGATTCAATCCCCTCTAGAGGTGGCTCTTTGACTGACAATGAACTACGTGAGTCGTCTTAGATTGTTTACGAAAAGCATCAGCGCAGTACGAAAGAACGACGGAGCGCACCTTATCTTTGAAATCATAAATCTGATTGTGAGTCAGGCCACTGCAAACGCACTCGTACCCGTGCTCGTAAACTAGTCACCCCCATGCACAGCCCCCGGTGGCACCCGCCGCCGCTCCACTCTTTCAATATCACTTGCACTTTTCGCATTATTATGTCATTGCCGTCAGCTTTAACGCTCTGCTGGCATGCCACGGACAACGGGTGCATTGCAGAAATGAGCGGAACAGAGGAGTCGAGTCAAATGTGCAGCAAAACGTTAATAAACAAAACGATTAACAATAAGGAAACACTTTTCACGCAATTGAAATGGGGATCCAGATCGTGAGATCGTGAGATCGAGAGATCGGATCCGTTGCGGTCCACAGAGGCACGCATGCGCAGGCGCAGTGGCAGCGCCGGCGACAGCTTAACCCAGAGAAAAAGGAACGAAAATGGAAGTGCAAATGGAAATGGAAATGAACTCACGTTTACAAAGTTTTCGCGGCGTATATCGTCGACCTCGTCGCGCTTCGAGATGCGCTTCCTCCAGTCATCCTCGCCGCTCTTCTGCAGCGAAGCCAGACGCTCCTTAATGGAGGTGGTCTTGGTGAGTGTGCGCTGATCGGGGCCCATGACCTGGACGCAGGGAGGAGGGGGTTGATCAGGACTGGAAGATATGGCAAGGACGGAGTGGGGGATCTCACCTGGGTCGATGAGCGACGCACGCCTTGGAGAAACTGGGGCAACGCAGTGGGATTCGATGGGTCTTCTGTTTGCTCCTCCTTTGTCGCTGCCGTCTGCTGCTTATCTGTCGCTGATTGCAGCGATGAGTGCGATTGCACTGGTGATTCCTTCGCTGACGCTGACGATGTGCTGGGCTGTTGCTGGCTCTCCTCGTTCTCCTTTGCTACATGACGCAACTTGACGAAACCGCTGCCAATTGGGGGCAACTGGGGGCCAACAATGCCGCCACCAATGCTGGGTGGCAGAGGTGCTGCTGGTGCTGCTGATATGCCCGAGTGACTTTTACTTTTTGCAATGAGGGGATTGCTGCAAGAGACGACAAACAGAGGGTAAGAGAGATGATAAACCGTTAGAGGAGTGTGCCGCATAAAGCGTGGCAATTAAGAGGCGCGTATCTACAAGATGCAGATACACTGCACAAGCATGCTGCTTCCGCTGCTGCACAGATTTCACTGCATTGAAAACGTGCGTTTTCCTCAATGGGTTCTCCCATTCCCATTCCCATTCCCCTTCCTCCCCCCCTTAGAAGGAAACTCGTGACATGACATTTTCGAAGCCACTAATGAGAGGATAGAGAGAGAGGTCTGCTGCCTTATTGGATCTATGGTGCCCCCCCCCCTCCCCCTTCCCCACCAGTAGAATGCACATCCGATCGACAGGCAGAGCAGCCTTTTATTTCTGCTGAGATTTTAGTTTTTGCGCCTGGACCAAAGCCAAAGCCAAAGCCTTAGCCAAAGAAAACTTTCTCCTTTAATAGGGGACCCATACCCCTGCCCCTACCCCTGCCCCTACCCCTGCCCCAGCCCCTGCCCATACCCATCCATTGGATGGCCATTTATTAACAAGCCAGCGCTGGGCAACAGTACAGTTTTTCCTATAGATGGCAATGGAATTTCCTTCTCCAAATGGCGGCTGCTGTGCTGGATGGGTTATTGTTATGGCTAGGTCTCATTTTTATTGCCAGCCCCACAGGCGGTTAATGAGGCAAGTCGTTTGGTTGGGTTCGGGACTGAGGATCGCTTCCAGCGGGAGACAGAAGGGGGAGGATAATCCTCTGACATTTGAAATATGTTCGGCTTGGAGGAGGAGGAGTAGGAGGAGTGGGAGGAGTGGCATTCCTAGACTTCTCAACAGTGCAAGCCACCCGTTCCATGCCATTCTCGCAGTGAATCAATCATTTCAAACGATGCTACTGATCTTTAATCTATTCCAAATTCTTTCAGCACGTCCATTGATCATCTCTGGCGCTCCTCATGATGAGAGCTGCTTCTTTGTCTCGCCACAGATTCAATCTATTTCGAAACTGCTTCTGCTGCCGCCCCTTTTGTAAGCGGCCCCGTTATGAGATTTTTCACAAAAGTCGCGCCAAATGAATCTCGCATTAGTCACCAGGCAACAGCCAAGAGCCAACAGCCAACAACAACACCATCCATGGCGACATGTATCGGTATATTCTGGATTCTGGATGTTGTATCTTTGTATCTTTCTCTCCCCCTCCCTGCCCCCCCAAAAGGCGAAGTTATCTCACAGCGTGAGTCAAGAAGTGGGGGTTCTTTCAAGCGCAGAAATGGGCCTGGCTTTGGCATTTATACGAGAATACGAATACGAGAATACGAATACGAGTGTATGTTACGGGTTGTCTGACTTTTTTTGAGCGACGGCCAACATTTAAGAACCGCTAAGAAACAAGTTCCACTGTTTTCGATGTTTGGCAATGCAAAAAAACAGGAGGAGGAAAAGAAAAACGAAGCGCACTTACACTTTGACAAGCACCGAGCACGTGGGGTTTGACAGGAACTGCCTACGCGTGGTTTGGCAGCCACTGCAAGTGGTTTTCAAGAACAGAGCTTGTGTTTTGGATGGCCCCTTGCGAGGGAGGACAGGACTTGCCCTGCACGTGGTTGTTCAGTCACTGCGCACGAGGTTTGGCAAGCACTGGCCGAGAAGGGAAGAGCAACGACTGCACGCGACGACCAAAGAAAGACGAATGAGCGCAGATTTTTTTTTGTTGCTGCTGCAGGTCCAAGCATAGGTCCACTCCACAGTGCAGATCCGAAACTGAATCTGAGTCCGAATCCAAATCCGATTTCAGACGAAGCTTGGCAGCGCAGCGGCAGAGCCAGCGGCAGAGGCAGAAACAGAAACAGAGGCTTCGTTTGCGTTTGCATTTTCGTTGGTGTTTCTTTCCATAGTTTTTGGCAGGTATGTAAAACAAACGAGGCGAGACCCGCTGACAGCTAAATTGCTCATTAATTGGGGAAAATTTTGACAGAAAGACAGAGCCGGAGACCCGCGGACAGGCAGCAGCGCGCAAAGTGGACGGCCAGGTGTTTAGGCCAGAAACCTCTACCTGGAAATCTCAACACAGGCAGCCGTGTCACATCTTTGGCGTTTGATCTCGAAGGAAAATCACACATATGCATGTATGTATGCATGTACCTGAGGCGAAAGTTCAAAGTTGAATCCAAAGAAATCAAAGTAAAAGCCTGGCTAATGGAATAATGGGATAATGGAAATGGACAGTGCGGGGGCTGGGCTCGACTGGACTGTGTCTGGGGACTATCTATGGCCCCCAGATACAAAGATACAATGTCCATAGGTCAAAGTGCAGACACGCGAATTGCTGCTCCTGCCGGGCTACGTCTTTGGCCGCTTGTTTGATAGTTTGTTTTAATGCAGTAATTGCCCTTTGGAAACCGTTTAGCAAGCAATTAGTTTGAGTGCTGCCCCATTCCGAGGTGTGGCAGCCCAAGGAGCGCACCCGTGCCCACGTCTCTGGGAAGTGTTTGCCCGGCGGAGTGGCGCAACTGGACGGATGTTTCCGTAGCTTCCTTTCCGTGCGGGCGTCCGTGTCCATCCCAAGTATCGTTGATCAGAGACCCCGAGCTCTCCCATGTTTTGTAATTGAATCTTTCTCTGATGCGATGCCGTAATTAAAATTTCTTTCGGCCAACAAAAAAAGTGAATGCGAAACGGAGACCGAGCCAGAGCCAGAGCCAGAGGCAGAGACTGAGAGTGATCACGCGATCACCTGTGCGGCTGTCTGTGTGTGTGTGTGTGAGTGCGGCGCAATGCGGCAGAGTAGAAGCCGCTTAATGATATAACAAAATGAATTGTTTTATAAACTATTTGGCGCGGCATAAATGATTGCACGCCACCGCGATGGGTCGTGGATGGGTCTCCGGAGATGGCTTTATGAGCAGCTCGCACGGCATCCACCTCCCAGCCTAATGGAGTTGTAGCACTCGTAAATCCACAGATTCATTTGAGGTGTTGAAAATGTATGCAAAAAAACCAAACAGCCAAAACAGTCCGATTTGCTGCATCTTCAGCGAATGCGAAATCTTTGCTTCTGGAGGGTCGTTGGCTGTCATTGGCATTGCCCTCTCTCTCCCTCTCTCTTTCTCTGTGTCAAGTACTTGGTGGAAATAATAATAAATCAAGGTTCGAGCGGTGTTCGCGTCGAGGAAGGTTAAAGCCGCAACTCAAGCAAAATAAATCATATATAAATGCACACATCTCACAGCTAATAATATTTAAACATGATATATGCCCCAACAGAAGCTCCCCAGGTTGATGGACAAACCGCAAATAAAAGTCGAGCGGATCGGGTCGGATCGGATCGGATCGTATGGCAGTAGCCAGCAGGCACTCGGATCTTTCAGGTGAATCTCAGGGAAACAGGAATACCAGCAAGGGGGAAGCGGGAAAGGGGCAGAGGAAATGTGACGCGTCACAATGATTCCTCAAGTAAGCAATAAATCGACTTATGCAACCCCTTTATGCCCCACAGACAAGAGATTTGCTTTGGCAAACCTCTCAAGTGCCTGCAATTTTCGGCTAAAAGAGAGAGAGGGAGAGGAAGAGAGAAATTACTCAAGTGACAATTACTCACAAAGGCGCCAAACAATTTAATGAGTGAGCAATGAGTCTAATGAAGATTTCAAACAATGGTGTGCTCCACACCAGACAGAGAGAGAGAGAAAGAGAGGGAGAGAGGGAGATAGAAATGCCAGAGATGCCACAGATCGCAGTGGAGATTCAAGTTTTGGGGGCCAACGGCGACTCGACTGAAGATCGCGCTCCAACTCTTGACTTTCCCACGCCGCACTTCCACCGAGGGGCGAGGAAGCGGGCTCCGGGGGGACGACGGGGGCCGGCGGTGGTAATGATGCAAAATTACAACGTCAACATGGGCTTACAACTCGGCTGGGATTCACTCTGGTTTTGAATTGTTTTGCACGGTATTCAAAGAGTGGGACGGGCATATTTGTATTCAGTCAAAATAAACACCAGAAATACTTAAAGCTAATGCAAAAATCTCTCCTTTGCTGTGTTCTTTAACAAGCGCATGAAAATACCAAAAATTCTTAATATAATACCAAAAAATACTACATTTAATACCAAAAAATACCAGAAATACTTTTGTTCAGTAAAAATGCTGTTTTTTAGATGGAACTCCATAAAATTCAGATGCGCAAAAGATGTCCAACTGAATTGCTGCCCTTCCTCAATGCCTGGACCAGGGACCATCGCCTAAGATCGGAAAGATACCAACAGCAAAGTGTTAAAGCGACTTTAAACCATTCGAGGGATATTATAATTGTCGCTTCGGTCCACTCTAACCGTTGATTTTGTTTTTCTGTGACCTCCCCCCCGAGATTTCATTAGTCACTGACCTTCTCCCCATTGGCCCCCCAGCAAAAGGTTTTTAGCAGTTTTGCTCGGCTTTCGGCGAGTGTTGGCTCTGGGTTAAAAGTCGTGGTGTTTCACCTGAAGTTCAAGGTATCGGCCTGTGTTGCGTCTGTTGAGAGATCTCTAAAGTGTTCAAATTTAGCCACATCCATGAATCGTATGTACATCCCCTACTGTGAGTAATGTTGGGGCACATTCGAGCGTTGGGCTGGCCACTTTGTTCCCTCAATCAGTCAGCTGATTTTTGTTATTTTACGGGCAGGCGCAGTGCTCCAGACACGTGCTGTCTGCAACCCCTCTGTTGAAGTGCCCTCCACCTCCCACCCTCCGCCCACTGCTCCCCTCTACCCATTCGGTGCATGCCAGACATGTTTTTCTTAACATTTTCGCCGGTTGCCGGGACAACCCGAAAAAGCGGAATGGAAATACGCGTCAAAACAAAACTCTCTTCTTTGTTCCGTTGTTCCGATGAGCGGCAGGGGGCAGAGGATTCCCTGTCGATGAGGAGGAGGAGCAGGAGGATTTGGATATGGGATGAAGGCACATGGCAGATGGTTTCAGGGGGGAGGGGAATCCCCCTCTTGAAAAGTTGACTGACTCCCCGGCTAGAC